AGTTGCCATGTTTGGGCCATGGATCGGATTCCTGGCCTTCGGGGTCGCGACGCAGTGCCCAGGCCCAGAGGAAACTGCTTTGCTGCAGTTTCAGTCAAAACATGGAAATGGCACAAACGGCACAAACGGCACGGATCCCCCACCTTTCGACATCAGCATCGACCGAAACGGCAATGAGTATATCTTGGAGGTGGTGGGCACTGGGACCGAATCCGCAGCCGAAGTCTTTGCAGCACTAGACCAAGACCAGAATGGTTTCCTGGACGCCGAGGAGATGCAGCAAGGCTTCGTGGACAAAGACAAGCTGGAGGCCGCGCTGGCAGCAAGGCCAAACTCAAGTGTGATGGTTCTTTTGTCCGATGTTCGCCCCAGCCTTGAGAGCATGGAGCTGCTGCTACTTCGGGCGGCAATCAAAGCCAAGAGCGGATGTGACACTGAGGAGGGGTTCACTGAAGGCTTCCTGAGCTTTGAGCAATACGTTGACTTGCTGAGTGAGGACTCAGAGGTGGGAGACAATGCGACAGACAATGTCACGGACAATGTCACGGACAATGGCACGAACAATGGCACGGACGGAAGTGGCACCGACGACAACAGCATGGACGACAGCTCCTATGGCTGGCATCCAAGATACGTGCGAGGGGGGCATCGAAGATGGAGGCATCGGAAACACTCACGACCGTTGGCACTTGTAGAATCCGGAAGTTTCCTGGACAAGTGCCTGGGCAAGAAAACCTTCGAGCAGATAGGCAGATGTGTCCGAAATGTTCAGGTCAAGGAGTGCGTTTCATGGATTACGGATCCTTTTTCCAGCTGCTTCTTGTGCTGTGTCAAGTCGATCACCAAGACCGTGATGGAGACCTTCCAGTGCGTCAAAGAGGCTACTCTTTTCTTGGTGGGTGACTTCAAGCAATGTTCGACGGCCATCACCGATCTGGCGAAGGAGGAGGTTGGCAAGAAGGGCTTGCAGGAGGTTCGGAAATTTTTGGACTTCCTGCCCAGCTGCGGAAGCCCCCTGGACTGCAGAAACAAGCTCTTGGAAGGTCCACTCGACTTGCTGAGCGGCCTTGCTAAGCAAGTGGAGGACTTGGTGATCCAAGCAACGGGTGACGAGGCGTACCGTGATCTGTGGGCCTTTGCCAAGGGCGCACTGGAGTCAGGGTCTTCGGATATCGTCGATACAGTCAAAGCGGCTTCGGAGGGCTTGATGAAGTTGTTTGAAGGAGACGTCACAACTGGCCATGAAGATGTCGATCTTTCTGGAGACATCTGCCTCCCCTGGGTGGAAGTCAAACTGACGGATTGTGACGTTTTTGAGGCCATGCGAGAGCTTTTTGACTTCAGCGACACCCGCTTTCTCACGGATATCCAGAATTTCATCAAAGGCAAGGTCGACACCATTGTGCACAGGTTCTTGACTTGCTTGCGCAAGCAGTCCCTCTTTGGCATCCCAACTCCATTTTCCGAGATCTCTGTGAATGAGAAGTATGCCTGCATGGGAGATGACGCCAAGAAGGCTCTGAAGAAAGTTTTCGGACCCATCAAGTACTTCTTGAACAGGATTGGCAACGGCTTCGACTGTAGCGGGGAAGTGAACGCGAAGGCCATCTGCGATGTAGCCATGGCTATATCGAAGGTACCACGTCTCTTTGAACCTCTGTTGAGCCGAGCCGCCCTGCTCCAGAGCCACGGGAACAGCTCAATCCGGCCTGGAGCTGAAAGTGACGCAGACAGGTGGGGTGCCGCAAGTCTCATCAGCAGGGGCTCTCACGGTGACCAACCGGAGTCTCATCCAGAGGATGCTTCGCTGATGCAGAGGGATGGCGCTTGCCACGGCATGTCTGATTACAGCGTTTTCTTCAGAATAGGGGGTGATTTCACTGTGAACCGCAAAATACAGTTGGAGCATCCTGTCTGGAGAATCTACAAGATCTTGCCACTCTCATACCCAAACCCCATCAATACCTTTGCGGGCTTTGAAGGCACCGCAGGTTGCCGAGGTGGCAAGCTGTTCTTCGAGGTCAGCACGATCATGTACCTGAGTGTCGATTTCGTGCAAGCATGGCGCTGGGCAAGAAAGTATCAGTCAGACATTCTTAATGATAAGGAAGACAGACTCCAATTCTCGCTTTCCACCTCGACTGGCTTCTCTCTCGGTGTGGCCCCCTCCGGGGACCTCTTCTCTGGTTACCTTGCAGGCGGCCTCGGGCTCAGCAAGGGAACGCTCTCTGCAGGGACAGGTGCTGTTTTTCTGCCCTCACCAGACTATCCCCGCGGCTTCTACACGAGCGCGAATTTCGGTCTTCACGGTTCGACAAGGACTACCCCAAGCCAAACATATCCGGTCAGCCTCACAGGGAGCGGTGGCTTCAAGGTCTCTCTCTTTCGTCTGGCTCCTTCGACCACCATTAATCCTCCAGCCATTTCAATCGCGCCAAGTAGGTCTCAAGGTGCTCGACCTCTGACGCAGTCACATGATGCCCTTTGCTTGGACTGGAACAGTGAATGGGGTTCATCACTGTGGCTCAATGCCGTAATGCGGCCATGCAACGGGGGATCCACTCAGCAGTGGTTCTTTGATGGGCAGCAGCTGAAAACCGCTCGAGATGACTTCTACTGCTTGGCTGCAAATCGTCAAATTGGTAATCTTTACATGAGGAGCTGTAAAACTCCAGGGCACGAGTTCTACCCATATCAGCGCTTCAGACTGGAGCCCTCTACGAGCTACTTGAAGGTGTTTGCAGAGGGTTTCGAGGATAAATGTGTCGATTACAACTATGTGACGGGGGTCGTCTACATGTATGGCTGCCATGGAGGGGGGAACCAGCGCTGGTCATTTCAATGCTATCCCAGAGCAAAGTCAGATGCCCGAGTCTTCAGCACCTGGATGGATGGTTCCTGCTTGGATTACAACTTCTACACAGGCAACGTGTACATGTATGGCTGGTGCCATCGGAGGCCGAACCAACAATGGTATTTTGACGCTGGCCAGCTCAAAACCAAGCATGATGACAACAAATGCTTGGACAACACGGGCGAGATGAAGGACTGTGATGGCTCGAGCAGCCAGCAGTTTACATTCAATGGACAGCAGATTAAACACGTCGACTCTGGCCTCTGCGCGGACTATAACACTGGCGATGGAGATGTCTACTTCAACCGGTGCCTCTATGCCTCGCAGGATCAATCCATGCCTCAAAGCTGGCAACGCTGGCGCTGCCGGTCGTGAAAGAGCTGCACCTCTGTGACGTCAGCTTTGTTGTAGAGTCCAAGAGGCCAGGGCCAGCCCTTCATGATGAACGGAAGCCCGCTTTTCTGCCATCGAAGCCCGCCACTTCTGTGCAGAAATGTGCAGTTCTTTTCCATGTGGTCGGCACAATCCTGCGCCTCAAGGCGTGCAATGGTATACTTTTAAGCAGTTCTTTTGTCAGCAACAACTCGCGTCGGCCGCTGGCGACCAGCACTAGCGACGAGTGGGCATGTAAGGCAAGGTTCTGCAACCCTTTTACCTTTTAACCCAAGGACGTGGGTTCTCACACCCACAAAAGTGGTTTTGTGACGCCAGTTCTCCCCGGGGCGTCGTGAGGACCCAGACCCCACACCTTCAAAAATGTCCTTGGCGCGGCCACCCCCTACGGTAAGCATCAGGAACCCCAAGAGCAACATTGCCCCAAAGGTCGCGGATACATAGGTGAGTTGATCTATAGTTGATCATTTCCAAAGAATCCTATGGTTCATCGAAGCATGGATGAAAGTTCCCATGCTGGCACCAGAACATGACCTCATGGCGGGAAAAAAAGTTGTCGCGGTCGCCGTCGAAGTAGCTGCTGCTGCTGCTGCTGCTGCTGCTGCTGCTGCTGCTGCTGCTGCTGCTGCTGCTGCTGCTGTTCCGACAAACCCTTTGAGGAGCCAGGTGGCGATGAGCGATGGAACCGCAGGCCTGTTCTTTCCCATCACATCCACAGGGTAAGGACTTCAAATCTTCAGATCTCATCATGGCTACTCGTAGCTCTCATGGGAGTTGCTTCTATACACGTAGCTGGCGAGCTGCATACAGCATGCCTCAAGTGTGGGACTGACTGTTCTGCAAGGAAGTTCTCCATGATATGGACGGTTATGCCATCTGCACAGGACCGGGAAAGGAAGAATAAAGCTTGCGCAAGACCATGCTTTAATGCACCACCGTCGAAGAAGGCTCAATGTCGTTCTTACAGCTGCTGGAGGTGACTTTTCACCAAGCATGACATGTGTCTGCCAGACAGTGCGAAGACAGGGGCCATGTTCCTTTACAGGCTGCGTGCTGTTTCGAGTTTCGGGTCTGTAGGAACCACTGGCAGCTTCCAGTCGACAAGGAGCCCTGGCTCCTCAATATTGCCTTCAATATCAGCGCATCAGCTTCTCTAAAAAAGCCTGGGTGTCTCCCCACCCTCCAAAAAAAGCAACGCCCAGCCCCCTTCAACAAACTCTTCGGGCCTCCGTTTGCGCTGAGGAAGTGATCCGATGTGCAGAGCATGAGTTGCTTGAGACCGTCGTGGTGATGCCAGATGGCATCACCGCCGTCTTCCTCACAACCCCCTGAATCACGGACGTGCAGTGGCATGCAGGACTGACCCTGGATGAAAGCTAGAACTTTGCTCGGTAGGCTTTGCTAAGTCTTGACGACCTTCCAGAGTTTGTCAGCACTTTTTCTTGCATTCACGATCCGTACAATTACCTGTCCATCTCTGCCTCTTGTGAAGACGGCGTTTTGTTTCACACGGCCCGCGCCGCAATACATTTGCGTGCCAATTGCTCTTGATTAGGGTTCCCTCCGACTGCCTGCTGTTTAGCAAGCCCAAAAGAAAGGCACACACAAAGAGATGCAAATCTAGAACAGCTGCTCTCGTGCTTTCGCATGTTGAACTGAACTACCTTCACTAGAGGAGAGTACCCAAGAGCCAACTTCTCTCAACACGACTCTCCAGAGGGGAAACCTTAATTCCAAGCTGGGAAGACCCGAGGTGCTGTCGACTTCCTCCTTAGCTGCCTGTTGACACCGCCTGGAGGTGGAGAAGCCGCGAAAGCAGGTTCAATTGGTCTAAGGTGGTTTTCGGATGTTTGGGATCACTCAAAGACCCATGATGCCTCAAGCATGGTGCCAGAACCATGGAGGGTTTTGGTATTTGACCTGCACAGCGCACCCCGGACCCATCTCCCTCTACGCAAGCTGCCAGGTGTCAGCAGTGGAAAGCTGGCCGAGCTCCTTCAAAGCTTCGTGGAGGACAGAAGCCCTTGAACTGCCACAGCCAGCGGTACTTTGCAGATTGTCAAGGGGCCCTTCTAAGGGACCTCAGGGGTCATTTCGGTATAAAGGACTATATGCGGTATTTATGTGTATATATATGGGTTATATAGGGGAAGAAGATTAAGGGTCCCTTCTAGGGGTCCCTCCTGATGCCCCTCAAACAAAGATCCTATAAGCGGTACCTTCTTGGGAGTATGCCGGAATCTCACCAGGGCAAAGGCTGCTCCCAACGAGCCCATGAGCCAGGAGCTCCTGTCGGGAGACCGGGACCTGAGAGACCTGGACCTTCCCTCGTTGCGGGGGCTCCTGGCTTTCAGGGGCTCTCGATGTTTTGGGGTCCCAGGAAGCTTTCGGCTAATCTTTTGGGTTCTGGGGCCAGGACCGGGGTGGTTGGGGTGGTTGGTTTATCAGCCCGTGGCTGCTTGTTGGCCTCGTCACCAGCCAGAGGTATGATGAAGTTATGTCGAAGCCCAGAAACCTGCATCGTTTGCAGGCCTTGCACCTCCTGCTCAAAGGTTGTGGGGCTTTCAGAGGGGGTCGGGGCTTGTGTTGCACCTGGTGAGGCCGGCTGTCGTCGAGCCGCTTGGATGCACTTGCTTGCCCCTCGAATCCAGCGACAGGGGCCAGGGGAAAGGTTGGGGGCCCAGGGCAGGGCGAGGGTTCCGGGAGGAGCCCTCTGAGCCACTTCAATGCACAAAGCTGAGTCAACTCAAAACCCTTAGCCCCAAGATCCGAACCTTTGAGAGCCGTTTTAGTAGTAAGGACATTCATCGAAGCTAAAAAAGGAACCTAAGCAGCTAAGCTCAGCTAAGTAACTCAGCTGCCTCCCCAGTGCGGCCTCGGCGGGGCGGCTCAGCGCGGCGCTTCCGGCGCTGCGGCGGGGGCCGGGGGCCTCGTCAGAGGTGTGGGTTGACTAGTTAAGAACCCCACATGAATGAAAAAATATTAATCCCTGTACTACTCTTAAGAAGGAAAAATGGTAGTTGAGGGTTCCCCTTGCATAGATCGCGCATGGTATAGGGGTGCAGCTAGTCTGAAACAGGCAGGACCATGCGTTGCAACCATTTCCCTCTGTTTTGCTGCACGGGTGCATTACTGTGTAGTGAGTGTCTGACTTGTCCCGCCGCCGCAGCTGTACATACTCTTCAAGGACACTTCTTTTGGGAGCATGGTGAGCTCTCCTTCATGGGCATCCAAGGTCATGTCTCGCTGATTCTTGCTGAACAGTGCTGCAGTGACCGGTTTTGATAATTTCTTAGATAGCTTCAGCTGCTATTGGAAGAGTCCTGAGAAGGTGAAGGTGGGGTGTTCGGTGACGAAAGGTGGAGCAAGTAGCAGTCTAGACGAATTCCTGGCGCATTATGCAGAAGCCTGACAACGGACATCAAATCAACACAGGCCCGCTGCTTGACCGTTTGCTTCCCTCATGGCGCGGACAGACGCAGCAGCTGCTCCGCGGCGACGCAACAACAAGGCGCGGCGGCAATGAACAGTGCTCGGCCACCTCAGCGCCTCCCATGCGGGTCTTTGAGAGTGGGTTCAGTCAGAGCAGGCAGTCCCATGTTTCCGTGAGAAGATCACACCCAAGTGCGCAGGAAGGACGGAAGGACTGAAGAGAGAGAGGGGGAGTTTGGCGCGCCCTTAGGGCGGCAACCCTTCGGGGGGGTTGGCGCAGAGGAAGGAAGGAAGAAGACAGAGGGGGAGAAGGAAAGGAGGGAAAAGAGGGAACAGAGGGGAAAGAGGGCAAAGAGGGGAACGAGGGGAAAGAGGGAGAGAGGGAGTACGCCCGAACAAAAGAAAGAAAGCAGAAGAAAGACGAATGAAAGAAAAAGAAAGAAAGAGAGAGAGACGCCAGTCGCTCTGAATTCTGTTTCAGGTGAGCCGTGCTCAGAGCTCGAAGACTCGCCGGGACCGGCTCCTGCTCGAGGGGATCGTCTGTTGCGCATGGTGCGTTTATAAATCTGCCCTCACTTCTCAGAGCTTTCGACCTTGGGAATCTCTCGAGATACATATATCTCCTCCTTTCGTTAAGGGACAGCTCAAGGATCGTCAAGGTCACAATCCACAAGCTTCACGAACACACTGATGGCCTGAACCCGGGAACACGTGCTCACGCGTCTACCGTGCGCAGGACTCGTCCGAGCAGAAGGCGCCCCTCTTCCCCGATGTTCCAGGAGTCCCTTGGCTTTGAACATGGGTCTCAACATGTCTCAACACACAAGCCCTACAGCAAATCCCGAAGCCGAGCTAGATCTTCTTTCTGTTTCGCCGCGAATCAATACCCTTAATGGTAAATGCCTGCGCCTCGGCAGCAGGGCTGGCCCAACGCGGGGTGTAGCGTGTGCATCGCAGAAGCAAAGCCAAGTCCTATGTCTGGAGGGGGGTTGTCCTGGGCCTAGGCCCAGGATTGAGGGGGGGGGTCCCGGGTCACATTGCGGCTAAGCGGCTCGACAGGAAAGAGCGCTTGCATCCCAGGACATTTCACATCAAGTCCCTGCACATGTGTGGTATTTATTGCGGCACAGCCCGGGCCTGCCTAGATTCGGGCTGCCTACTGCTTGCCATTCTGATGTTTCTAGTCCTGGATCGGAATTGAGCACAGCCTTGCGCCCAAGCTGAAGCCTCTTCTATATAGTACAGCAATAGTAAAGAAACAAAAGTAGTAGCAGTAACAATAGCAATAGCAGTAGCAATAGCAATAGCAACAGCAATAGCAATAGTAATCTTAAGCGTAATCGCAATCGTAATCGTAATCAAAACTAATCAGATGTATATATATATATATATTTATATTTATTTATTTATACATATATATATATATATAGATATGAGGTTTTCGTAATGTTCTATTGCTATGACCTTATACCCTTAGGCCATTGCAGCGCTCCTGGCAGCCTCCCCACCCCGCGCGACCTCGCTGCCTGCCAAGAGCCGCAAGCCGAGGCCAGCACATGAGGTTCCTTCAAAAACTTAGGGTTTAGGGTTTTGGATTAGGGTTTAGGGTTTAGGGTTTAGGGTTTAGGCCTAGGGCTCAGGGCTCAGGGCTTAGGGCTTAAGGTTTAGGAACTTGGAGGCTATGGGATGTCTCTCCAACGCACCCTTTCCACCCTAAGGTTTCAACTGTTCCGGGGTTTGCTTGGGCGCACGAAGCCCTGCCGCAGGCCCAAGGATCGCGCGTTCTCCCCCGAGCCCAGCGGCTCCGAGGCTGCCACTGTGGTTGCAGTTGATCGCTATGTGCAGTTGTTCTGGATTCGTAGATCCAACTTTGTTTCACATATATATATATATATGCTACCCCCCCCGGGTTATCCACGCTTTTTTGTGGTTATCCACGCTTTTTGTGGTTGCGAGCCAATTAGATCGTTCACGGGCCGCGGTGACCCGTGAACTCCCCCCCCTCCTCCAATAGCCCAATCCCCTACATAACGTAAATGCATGCAATCCTTGAGATGTCGAGTCCTCTCCATCTGTCCAAACACTGGGCACAGCGACCTTCTCCCCTCCCCTCCCTTCCGCTCCGCTGCGCTCCCTGGTTTTGCAAAGGCTTTTTTCAGGGCTAAATCTCTAAACCCCTATCGGTTCAGGTTTAAGTCTTATAAAAAGAGCGGCACCGAAACCCTATAGGGTTTAGGGCTTAAAGCCGATAGGGTTTAGGGTTAAACCTGAAGCTGAACCTTTAGATCCATAGGGTTTCAAGGTTAAGCAATTACACCTAAACCCTTAACCTTTAATCCTATACGGTTAACAGGTTTGAAGATTTTAAGATCTAGGTATTTAAACCTAAGCCCATAGAGTTTAAACCTTAAGGGTTTACGGTTTAGGCATCTAAACCTGCACCCTTTAGGGTCAGAACCCTGAAAGCCAAGAGGGCTCTACAAGGCTGAAAAGTTTTAACCGCATAGGCGCTGAAGGTATACATGCCCAGACCTTAGGTTTTCAAACCTTTAAATCCCATAAAGTCTAAAGAGGTATACATGCCCAGACCTTAGTTTTTTAAACCTTTAAATCCCAAAAAGTTTATCTCTGAAGCCCTCACGGGCTTAGCCCGATAGGGTTTAAACCCTATACACCTATAGGGTTCACATGTTTATGGTTAAAGGTTGAGGCAGTACCTATAGGATTAGAACCTTATAACCCTGTGTACGACTCACCTTTACGTACTATTTGATGGTTCTGTTTCCCCTGTTAAAGCTTCCAGGATTTTAAAGAATTTACAAAGACCCTTCAATTCTTGAAAACCCTGTAAACTCCTTAAAATATTGAGAGGCCTCTGGCTTTCAACATTTTGAGGATGTTAAGGAATGTAAAAGGCCACTTAGATACTTTAAAATCCGTAAAATCTTGAAAAAATATATTATTTTGGGAAATGCCCGGCCCTTTTGAGTTTTTTAAAATCCGTACATTCCTTCAAATCCTTGAAATTTTGAACAAAATAGTTCGGCCCGGCCCATTAAAAAATTCTAGTTATGGTTTCAGCACCTCTCGGGCTACAGCCTTCTAATCTCTAGACTTTAGAGCCCTCAAGGGTTTTAGGGTTCTGACCCTTAAGGGTTTCGGGTAATGCTTAAAGCTTAGACCCTATAGGGCTAAAGAGCTAACCCCGTCAGGGTATTACTCCGGAAAGCCCTAAGGCTTTGGATTGAACTTCAAAACTCGGGACCCTGGATTCAAGATCCCGGGGAAACTTTTCCCTGGAACCTTAAATCTTGAATCTTGAATCCCGCAGTATTGAAGTTCAATGCTCCGGATTGAAGTTCAATACTTCAAGCTTCAAGATTCAAGATTCAAGGTTCCAGGGAAAAGTTTCCCCGGGATCTTGAATCCAGGGTCCCGAGTATTGAAGTTCAATACCCCGGATTGAACTTCAAGACTTCGGGACCCTGGACTCAAGATCCCGGGGAAACTTTGAATCTTGAATCTTGAATCCCGGAGTATTGAAGTTCAATCCGGAGCATTGAACTTCAATACTCCTTGTCCCTCATCGTGCTTGACCATTGAGGCCTTGAAATTTCAGTACACGATGCACTCTAGAAACGTGTCTACTGGTGTAATATAAACATACAGATAGTCAACCAGATATATATAAAGGAAGAAGGAAAATATAATCAACACGCTGGAGCAAAGAAAACAAATTACGAACGAGCAAAAAGAAATACGCAGTGCCAGAACAAGAAAAACACAAAACAAGCAGAAAAGGTGTGGATAACTGGGGGGGGGGGGTACCATATATATGTATATATATATATATGTACGTGTCTTGTCAACCCCCCTCCTCATTTGTCTGTACAGAAGGATTTTCATGTCCGATACCTGTGGAAGTAGGAGATGAGAGTCCTATATTCGGCGTCAGACCCTCTGTACGTGTCTTGGTGTGTTTGTTTTCCCCAGTGTTTTTTGTCTTTCGGCTCCGAAACCGAAAATTTGCCGGAGGTTTGCTTGGTTTTTGCTGTCTTGGTTGAGCAACAGCCAATCAACGCTCAGGTGTTTGTGGTTTTTCAGAAGCTCCAAACCCGCTACGTTAAGGACCCAAAACCCTAAGCCCTTTAACCCTAAGCCTTAAAACTATAAATGTTAGAGCCCTGAACACTAGCCCCTCAAAGGGGGGGGAGGGAGGGGTTGGGCGGTTGGGAGGGTGGGAGGGGGGGGGAGGGGAGGGGGTGCGACGCATGATCATGCATATATATATATATGTACATATGCATGCATGTATGTAGCGCAACGCAACGCAACGTAACGTAACCTAATGTAATGTAATGTAATGTAATGTAATGCAATGTGATGCAATGCAATGCAATGTAATGTAATTTAATGTAATGTAGTTTAATGTAATGTAATGGAATGTAATGTCATGTCATGTAATGCAATGCAATGCAATGTACTGGA